AGCTCAGCCCACCAGGTGCCGGGGCTGGCTGGCATGTGGTGCTGGGGGATTGAACCGCGGTCCCTGTGCTTTGCTAAGCTTGTGCTAAGTAGGTGCTTTAGACCACTGAGCCATCTCACCAGCCCAGTTTTCATGAATCTTGAGGTAGAGAGAGTCAGTATATAATAAGATCCTGCTCTTACTGCACAGCCAGTGTATTAACTGGCAGTCCTGCCCAAGCAAGGTGAATTTCCTAATAGGATTTCTCTTCACCTTGTGCTTATGGGGCTCTAAAGAAAAACTCTGCTTCCTTGAAATGAAACAAATGTGAATCTGCTTAGAAGAACTTTGGAAAAAAAGAAGGACGGAAGGAAAACAGTTCTATCTTACACATTTGCAGCCTCAGCTGTTTCTTCTAGGCAGCGTGACATGTTAAAAACAGAGGGCTAGGGAGATAGCTCAGTGGCATAAGCGCCTGCCTAGGAAGCGCAAGGTCCTGAGTTCGATCCCCAGTACCAACCCTCCCTCCACCCCAAGAAACTAAAAAAACCAGAATGGGTTTAAAACGTTGCTGGCACTTACAAGCAAAGTGGTACAGATCAAATGCTTAACATTTCCAGTGCCTTCCCTTCCAAGTCCTTTACAGCACGATTATACACACACAAGCCCTACTGCTTCAAAACTCAGCGTATTTGGTACTTGGTGCATTTTGACTGAAAATTCTTTACCAGGGCTTGGTTGGTACTCCATGTACAACCCAGAACTTGTTGGTACTGATTGCCTCATGATTTGCTGCCCTTTCCAGCCAGTACAGTTTGCTTAGTACTCATCACTCTTAACCAATTAATGACAAGTGCCAGTCATCAGTTGTATTGCATTGTAAGTTCGTCGAACTTAAATAGAAGTACAGTATTTTGCATGTAGTAGGCATCTAAGTTTTCCTTCCTTTTATTTTTTCCATCTCATCACTCTTCCCTAACACAGTCACTCTTCTTTCTGTGTTAATAGTAAACAATTAAACTATAGCAACTTTTGAATAACCAGTGGTCCATGAACTTGTGCCCAGTAGTGTCTAGTCTATGTTTTTTTTTTTTTTTTTTTTTTTGTTTTTTTTGCGGAACCAGGGATTGAACTCAGGCCTTTATGCTTGCCAGGGAAGCGCTTATTCCACTGAGCCATCTTCCCGACCCCTTGTGGTTTTTCTTAAGTGTTGTCTTCACACTTTTCTTTCTACTTAGTTCTTTTAAATTGCAGTTTTAAAAATTACTCCAGAAACTCTTAATCTTAGATGGTACATTAGCAAATCCTAGATGGCAAATTCTACCTATATTTAAGCAGAAAACTTAAATCTTTAAAAATCTTTTAACCTTTGTTGTTTGCTGAAACCAGTATGCACAAGTGAAACCGCTACACTTACATTTTCCTTTTTCCTTTAAAATTGTGTAATAGTTGGGGAATCAACATTCTCACATCTTATTATATAAAAGTCCTTATATCTGTGAAAATTAATTGTCAAAAATTTCTCATTTTGGGGCTGGGGAGATGGCTCAGTGGAATAAGCACTTCCCTCGCAAGCGGTAAGGGCCTGAGTTCAATCCCTGGTTCCACCAAAAAAAAAAAAGAAAAAAAAAATTTTCTCATTTTGATCTTACTGAGTCAATCTTTTATTTTCGTGTTTCTGTAAACATGTTCTGTTAAAATGACAACGAAAGTGTGGAATGGAAGTTCTTTTACATTCTTAGTACAAAATTTCATGGCCACAGGATTTAGGTTTATTTACAAGAGGGGAAACTCAGAAACTTTAATTCTTAACATTGTTCTTCTGGTTCTGAAGATTTAAAAAAGTAATTCATATACCATATGACTCTGATGTTATGGTTTTGGTTATAGTGCACACTTTTCATTTTGGCAGATCAAATTTTTTTTCCTTTTCTCATTTCTCTTCTTTTTTTTTTTAACGCAATTGCTGGGAACAGAAGAGATGAAGATTAGTGTAATTTTAGTTTCTTTCATTACCAGTTTTTTAACCCTTTCCTATCCCAGCAATCAGAATTCCAAATGACAGTTGATAGATAAACAGTTGAGTTATATAAAACTTTCAGTCCTCTTTCTACATGGGTTTTTATCCCAAAGAAGGCATTAAGCATATTTAAGTAGAAGCCAATAATGGTGCCAAGCTGTTGCGGTTTGTTAAGGTGTAAGAAGCAGAATGACAACGAGAACCAGGTAAAGCAGCCTATTTATACAATAAAGGGAAAGCTTCAGCTTAACAGAGGGTTGCAGATGGTCCGATAATACAGGTAATCACTTACTGAGGTCTCACGTACCCAGAATAAATTAAAGCCTTTTGTGAGGGGTACATCCTTGCTTTTAGTGGAGAAGGCACATGACTTTTTCCCCTTATTTCAAATGGATTTTTCAGATTCAGTAGCCAAGTTTACAAAGTAAGAACTATGAGAAGTTTCTTCTCTTTGCTCTGCTCCCTGGTTGTTTTTAATTGAAGGAAATTTCCTTATTTTATAAGATGCACACTTGAAAAGAGTTTAAAGAAGAAATTATAGAGTTGGATTAGACCAATAAAGTATAAATAAAAATAAAAATGTTGGACAGAGGCTGAGCTGTATCAGTTTATATTGTTGAATGTTTGATAAACTAAAGACAGAGAGTACATATAAGCTGTATCTTCACTAATGGAAATTCAGTTCATCAAGTATGGGTTGAGTATATGCTAGGTGCTTATCTACATGTTGAGGCTGTGGGGATAAATGAAACTTGATTCCTGCCCTCCGAGTAAGGTTGAATGTGGAGAGGCGTACGTAACACAGAAAGGTGTGGGGAATAAGATCCCTGAACTAGCTGTCCCGGGCTAGGGAAGTAATGCCTGCTCTCTGAAGAAGAGGTAAGAGAGGCTACATACAGAATGGCAGCTGAACCTGATTTTGAAAAATAGCTGCAAATGGATCAGACAGCTAAGGGACAGTCCAGGCTAAGGCAGCAGTTTGTTCAGAGTTACGGCGGTGTTTGGCAAGACTGGGCTTAATTGTGAAGGACTTTGTTTGCTGTGTGAGGGTTGTGAGGCTGAAGAGTGTTGCAAGTACGGATTTTGTCTACTCTTTTAGATCACACTAACAATAGTAAAGTATCTGGGCTGGTGAGATGGCTCAGTGGTCTAAAGCACCTACTTAGAACAAGCTAAGCTAAGCAAAAGCACAGGGACC